CCAACCAACCCCTAAGCACAGTCAGTCATCCCTGAGTACCTAGACAACTAATGAAAAAGGCTATATCAATACAGATCAGTAAGTGTCCAAGAGGAGGGTGTATGCCTTTGTTCCACATCCTTCTGGATCTCAAATCCTGATTTGAAGTCTCCATAAAATCCTAGTGCAAAGCCAGAGCCTATCCCAAACTGAGAGTGGGCTTCCTGTAAAAGGGTTTGGCTTGAGTTCCATCGCTGGAGCGCCAGGGCGAGGAAAGAGATTACTTTTCCACCTTAAAATAGTACGTAAAGGCATTTAACTATAAATTGACACTATGTAAAAGCCTTGCAGAACTCCTCAGAAGAAGGCTGTGCAGAACAAGGAGTTTTGCTGGTGTTAAAGCATTTGGAGAAGCAGACAACAAAAAAAAAAAATTAATTTTTCAGTTTCCTCAATAAAATGCAATGCTGTTATTTAGTACAGATAACAGGATACAAATGGCTTATTTCAGCCCACTTCTGTCCCTCAGTGCACAGACCATTGTACCTGAGATAATGACGCTCACTGACGTGGCAGTGTTGTTACCAGGCAACCAGAGATAAAATACAGGGTTTAATGATTTTTATTTAATGTATTTTCATGAGAAAGTACATTCTCTTTTTTCCTCTTGTGATGTTATTTGAGGTGGAAATGCTGTTTACACAGACAGATATATTTAACCATCCTCTTGCAATTTGATAAAGAAAATAATTCGAACTGGATATTCAAACAGTGAATAAGTATGTCGAAATATACTGAATGTTGCCACTCACAGACACATCATGGCCATGGCTGAGATCTCAAACTGCTATGCCAGAGTTGCATTCAGGAGGTCTCACAACAGAGAACAATGGCAGGGAACAGGTGCAGCTTAAGGATGTGTGGGGCTGTTACAGATGTCTGTATACTTGTCCAGGACAGAGAGTAAAAACCAACGCCTAAAATCGTCCCTCAAACTCTTCAGCACTGTCATTATGCCATAGAATCATAGAACAGCCTAGGCTGAAAAGGACTTCAAACATCACCTAGTTTCAACCCCCCCGCCATGGGTAGGGTTTCCAACCACTCGTAAGAGCTGAGTAGAGAGGGACAATCACTTCCCTCTTCTTGCTGACCACCCCTTTTTTAATGCAGCCCAGAAACACAGTTGGCCTTCCAGGCTGCAGGCACACATTGCTGGCTCATGTCCAGCTTCTCATCCACCAGGACCCCCTGTCTGGGGGTCTGTCAGGACAAACAAAGCTGAAGCTCGGATATCTCAACCAGAAATTTGTTCAAGGTAAATTTTAAAATCCGTAACCCACATCTGTGAGCAACAGATGTTAACCGACAACAGCACAGCCTTATTTCTTCAGCCTCTTTCACTGCTCTCTCTAAACACAGACAGCTTTGTTTAAGAAAAACAGTCTTTTTAAGTAAGCAACAGCTACCAGTCTGTGAACCACTGCTCTGCTCTTATCCTCCACATCAGGAAGCACTGCCAAGTTATCTTCCAAATTCTCACAAAAAAATAATATTTCCCATTCTTGAACAGAGTAAAATGCCATATTGACCTGAACTCAAGCATATTTAATACATTAAAGAAAAACATATTTTCTACTGTGCATGCATGTCAAAAGATCTCAGAGCTTCACAAGATATCTTACAACAGGTTAACCAATGCAATCAATTCCTCCTGCACTTTAAGACTGGATCTCCAGTACTTATATCCCCTTGGAAATACAGATCTCACTAAGTCTAGTGTCATTCCACTGAAACAGATCTGGGAAAAGACTGGTGGACTAATAAAACCTAAGACAGAAACAGCATTATCGTAGAACACAAGATAATTCTAAAGCAAAATACAACATCTGTTAACAATAAATACCTGTCATAATTAAAGAATTCATGCTGGAAATCATTAATTATACCTTTCTTAAAGTATGTCAGAAAATTATTAACAAGATGTAAGCAGCTAACTGCCTAGGCAACCCGCATGAAATGATCAGCAGAGTCTGGGGGTGCACAAGCAGGAATGCAGCAGAACTGGGCAGAAAAATAACTCTACCTTAGTAGCTGACAGCACTATTATCAGTACTGAAGACATTTCTGTTGGTCACATTCATGAAGTTTCAGAAAACAACAGAGAGAGGAGGATATAAAAGGGGTAGGACTGAAAATATTTTACAATTAGAATCATTAAGACTTCGATCTGTTTATCACGTCAGCAGAACTGAGAAGTTATCCCATGGTAAGCAAGTGCCAGCTCCAGAAAGGTTTTTAATCTAGCAGAAGAGAGCAAAAGCACTGGATGGAATCTAAATTAATTACAGTAAAAAGACATTTATACCAGTGAGAGCAATTAACCACTGGAACAAGCCCAAAGAGAATGATAGGTTTTCCATCTTTTACTTTGTTCATGTCGCAGCAGGATACATTTTTTGATCAAAATTAACTCCCAAAATTCAAGGTATACTGTTTCACTGTACTTAAGAGAACCGAACAGAGCCATACTCGTATAGAATCATAGAATTGCTCAGGTTGGAAAAGACCTTAAAGATTATCAAATTCAAATGCAGCCAAACCATACTGCCCCCTACCTCTAGCAGCACTCCACTAAATCATGTCCCTGAGCACCACATCCAAATGTTTTTTCAACACATTCAGGGATGGTGAATAGCCTAGTATCCATCCTTCCAATTTAAAGCTTGACAAAGCTTTACTACTGAAAAAGAGACTGCTTCCAAAAGACTGAATAAAACTGGAAGTATACAAACAAGCAGAGAAGGGAAACAAGTAACCCAGCAGAGTAGCTACCAGAATTAACAAATCATGTTTTTGTGTATCTACAGCATTCACTTTAAACAGAAAAATCTCAAAACCAAAAACACAGAAGGATGTGCTTTTTATTTCTGCTACCTAGTTACGTAGGTAGCCTCAGCTTGGTGCTTTGTACTAGACAAGCAGATGTTGCCATCATGAGTCTGGTTGTACAAGAATAAAGCTCCGAGTTCAAACTCAGAAAGGGAACTTCAGATTGAGAAACTGCAGTCCTGCATATCCCATGTTATTACTGCATTATTCTGGAGACAGGTCTGACCTGTAGCTCACAGTGCCAGGGATGGCTTCAAATCTCCACTCCTGTCTGTTTACATTAAGTTAAATGGTCTGTGGATGGGGAAAAAAAAAAAAAAAAAAAAAGAAGAAAAAAAAAAGCTGGGAACAGGTATCAGGAACCCCAGCTGTAAAGGGAAAATCTGAATTACTGGCCTACTGAATTTTTTTTTTTTTCCTATCTCTGTGAGATTGAGAATTTCACCCTCCAGCCTCAAACAATGCAGATAAGAAGCCCAATGAACTTTTATGCAGTCACCTCAGCTATCTTGAGATTAGCCCTAGACAGCCGCAGACTGATAACCCTCAGTACTCCAGATACAGTACTGAGACATCTCTATTCAACACTATGAATTTGAACTCTAAAATCCTGAACGCAGCATTTTGAACTCCACTTCAGAAGAAAGATACTTAAAAGTCAACTCGAGGTATTGTATTTAGCTAGCAATTTCTCTTAAATCTCTGCTTATGCCTCTTTGCCCATTAATTAGTTGTACAGAGTTGTAAAGTAACGTTATCTTGCCAAACCATGTCAGTTATAGCAGTATATAGCTGCACCAAGATCAAAGACGGACAAACTTGAAGGCAGATCTTTCAAACATTACATGGAACTATGCCAAGAAAAAATGTCACATAGTTGTTGCTCCCTGTCAAGAAAATTCTACATTATTACATGTGGATAGAAGAGTAGAGAGGGAGAATGAAATGGCATGCAGGTGGAAGACTTTGATCTACTCAGATTCTCTAAGCAGCAGACTTAAGTATGAAAAGCGAGCAGCTAGAATGAAGGGAATAAAAAAGATTTTTTATTTCACTTCCAAAAGGAAAAACGCTTTTAAGCCTCTCTGAAAAAAACAGCTGTAAAAATTCATGAGGTTTTCACAAGTCAGTAGTCACTTAACAAATTCTGTGGTATATTATGCTACAGCATGGTATATTTTGCTATTATACTACATAAAGAAATAACTCCTTAAATGTGTTATCTGGGGATGTTTCTGTACCAAATATCTTATTCTGGAGGTTTACAAAAACAAACAAGAACATGAACTAAGAAGGGACATTTCCAATTTAACACTCTTCTTAGAATTTACTGAAAGTGCACTACAGAAGTTTCTTTTCATTTTACTGTCAATCATATTTGGCTTTTATTAAATGTATAAAGAATTTACCAGGGAATTATACCAGTGGTATAACCCAGGAGGTGACTAAGCACCACACAGTTGTTTGGTCACTCTTCTACTTCCTGTGGGATGAGAAAAAGCTAACAAATCAGTCACCAATATTACTAAGTTCCAACAACTTTCATGTCACCTCCAAAGTAGGCTGCTCCATATAGTTTTAGACAACAAAGATAAAAGACTGAAAGACTGGAAGAAAATTATAGGTAACCTAGCCCAACTTCTTTCACAAGGCATAACCAAATGCCTGCATCTACTTGACCGACATTATTTATTTTTAGAGACCTTGTCTATGATAAAGCCACGATATGCTCAATATACGTTGTTATGTGTTTATTATCAGGTCTTATATAAATAATCTTTGTTATTTATTTCCTTGAGAGAATTCACAAGAGGCCTCAAGCACAGGCTAAGTCTTCTGTTTTTTCTTTAATCCACATATTTTTTTAGTTAATAAATATAAAACTTTTCAAAGGCTCAATACAGCAAACAAAGTCCAAGCCATAATCAGATGAAAAGTGATAAACTGATCACTAAAACTGAACACAAGGTCAGTAGGAGCTAGTCCAAGAGAACAGATTAGACCACAGTTCCATATAAGAAATTCACCAACTAATTTAAAAAAAAGAACTCTGTCCCCAGAATGGCATGCAAGCCAAAGGGGTTTGTTGACTACAAGGATGTAGAGCCTACTGTATTCCATCTCCTTACCTCCACCACAGTTGTCTTGGCAGCTTTGCACATTGGTTGATTGAAGTTTCTAGCAGTTTTCCTGAAATATAAATAAATAAATAAAAATAAAAATCATAATTTGTAAAACTTAAGAAGTAAACACATTTCAGAACCAAGTTGATACAAGAATCTCTGTAATATGAACACCACAGATATTACTGTTGGACATCTAAAAGTCTAATCGAAATAAGGAAAAAAAATATGCCATAATGTCTAAGATACATAAAAAATAAAATTACGTTTTGCTAAATCAGAGAATATTTACAGCTCTTTTGACTTTTAATCAACACATTGTCCAACTGAAATTGGGAATGCTACTGATATCATTTATCAGATTCAAGAGCAGCAGCAAGCTGGGCTGTATAAAGTATTGTCATGTAACTTTTCTGCACAAAGAACAAAAATCATCTCCATAGGGAAGCAAGCACACCATCCCAAATCCTACATGTCTTCATAAATTAGACTAAACAGCTACATGGACTTAGACTAGCAATCTGCACAGTAGAAAACTTAATTAAATTCTCTTGATTGAAACAGCTGTTCTAGTTTTGGCACCCAATGCAAGACTCTGGCATTAATCCTAAGTATTTCCACTTAGGTCTTCTGGAACAAGGAAAAGAACCTCCAGGGAGTAAAAGCAAGACATGATATGCATATAACCATGCTGAGATATGCACCAACATCCTAGACAGAGGAACAAACAAGTGATCCATTTCAGCCCTTCTGTACTTTCCAGAAAGGAAATAAAATTGTGGAGCAAAACATTTAGGAAAAAATGTGTATTTTGATGGGGTTTCACTGTCTTAAAAGGTGGAATTCTGCTTTTGTTGGTTTTATTTTTTTTCAAAATGCATGAAAACAAGACACCAAATAAGTCAATATCTCCTTTTTCTCCCCCTTTCCGTAGGGACAGGTTTTTTTTCTGGACCATTCTTACTTCCCAATACCTTTTCCTCATTTTTCACCCCTGAGTCCAATGACCATGCTTAATGGCATATCTATGCTGAACTTTGAGATGCTGCTGCCACCTCGTGGCTGCAGGAGGGGTAGGGAACAGAAACGACCAAATCCCAACGTGCCATGCATTTTTACACTAATTCCTACTGCAGATACCCACAGAATGGAAGCAATGTCCCAAAACACATATCTTGAGAAATTCTCTTTTATTGGCAATACACATAATCTGTGAAGTCTTTGACACTTCAGAAGGGACAGTCTGTGGCTGTGTTAAAACAAACGAATGTAAGAATACAAAAGTATGAAAGAAAAGATTTTGAGTTTATATCCTTTACTTAGTTCTCGAATACGGCCTTAGCAGTAGTGATTACAGGAAGTAAATCCTTCAACCAGGCAGAATAGAAAATAAAAAGGAAATAAAGTTTCAAAACTGAATTAAAATAGCAAGGAAATTAATTTAGACGGGAGAAGATAGACAGAAATAAAGAGTTCAGTGTGTCATCCCAAGTGACTACTTTTCTGAGCAAAAGATGCTTTCAAGATCATACTGGATAATCTGACAGTAAAAGAAACTAACATAAAATTATTGTTAAATAGAGGTAAAAAGTTACTAGAAGAAACATTTCAGCATGGAAATGAGAAGAGATAATGGGGTAGATTGCAACTCTGTTCAAAATGTTTATTTACGGCCACCAATTGTCTGAAGAAAGGCTGAGGGACCTGGGGTTATTCAGGCTGGAGAAGAGAAGGCTGTGGGATAACCTCCTGCAGCCTTGAATACTTCAAGGAGCTCATGATAAGGAGGAAGACAGATATTTTACACAATCTGAATGAGAGGAACTTCTTTTAGATTTAAGAAAATTGTTTCAGAAGTAGTTGTCTCCTGTAAAAGAAAAAGGTTTTACTCCTGAAGAGCTCTCTCCATCATATTTGAAAAGTCATGGTGTGACTGGAAAAAGGGAAATATCATTTCGATTTTTAAGGAGGGTTGAAAGGAAAATCTGGGAAACTATAGGCTAGCAACACTCACAAATGTACCCAGGAAGATGATGGAACAGACCCTAGTGGAAGACAAGTTAAGGCACATATGAGAAAGAGGTTACCTGAGACAGCTTAGTAGCTTTACCAGGGAACAGATCATGCCTGACCAATCTGCTTGCATTCTACAACAGTGACAGTATCAGCAGACAAAGGTTGGGACTGATGCCATCTACCTGGATTTGTGCAAGGCCTTTGACATGGTCCCACACCACATCTCTATTTCTAAGCTGGAGAGATATGAATTTGAAAGCCGAACTATTAAGTGAATAAGGAATGCATAGTGTGTAGAGTTGCAAGTATAGAGTCTTGCACCTGGGGAGGAATAACTGCATTGACCATAGCAGGACAAGCAAAGTGATCCTCCCCCTCTACTCTGCCCTGCTCAGGCCTCACCTGGAGTATTGTGACCAGTTCTGGACTCTCCAGTACAAAAAAAAAAAATGCAAGGATCTTCTGGAAAGAATCCAGCAGAAGGCCTCAAAGATGATAAAGGGCCTGGGGAAAGACTATAAGATCCGGGTCTGTCCAGCCTTGAGAAAAGAGTCATGGCCTGGGTTGAAAAGGACCACAAAGATCGTCGAGTTTCAACCCCCTGCTATAGGCAGGGTCGCCAACCACCAGATCAGAGCCACATCCAGCCTGGCCTTGAATGCCTCCAGGGATGGGGCATCCACAGCCTCCTTGGGCAACCTGTTCCAGTGCCTCACCACCCTCTGTGTGAGAAAAACTTCCTCGTAGTATCTAACCTAAACCCCCCTGACTCAGTTTAAAACCATTCCCCCTGGTCCTGTCACTATCAACACATTTGAACAGTCGTTTCCCCTCCTCTTTATACGCTCCCTTGAAGTACTGGAAGGCCACCATGAGTTCTCCCTGGAGCCTTCTCTTCTCCAAACTAAACAAGCCAGTTCCCTCATCCTTTCCCCGCAGAAGAGCTGCTCCAGCCCTCTGATCATCTTAGTGGCCCTCCTCTAGACCCACTCCAAGAGCTCCACGTCCTTCTGTACTGGGGGCCCCAGGCCTGGATGCAGTTCTGCAGATGGGGCCTCACAAGAGCTGAGTAGAGGGCGACAACCACCTCCCTCTCCCTGCTGCCCACTCCTCTTTCAATGCAGCCCAGAACACAGTTGGCCTTCTGGGCTGCAAGTGCACACTGCTGTCTCATGTCCAACATCTCATCCACCAGGACCCCCAAGTCCTTCTCCACAGGGCTGCTCTCAAGGGGCTCTTCACCCAGTTTGTACAAATACCTGGCATTGCCTCAGCCCAAGTGCAGCACCTTGCATTTGGCCTTGATGAACCTCATTAGGTTCACATGGGCCCACTTCTCCAACCCGTCCTTTAGACAGGCTTCCCTTCCCTCCAGTGTCTTGGCTACACGGCTCAGCGTGGTGTCATCTGCAAACTTGCTGAGGGTGCACTAGATGCCATCATCTGTGTCGATAAAGATATTGAAGAACACTGGTTCTAAGACCGACCCCTGGGGGACACCACTTGTGACTGGCCTCTATCCTGACAAAGAACCATTGATCACAACCCTTCAAAAGAATACTGAGAGGGTATCTGATCAGTGTCTATAAATATGTAAAGTGTGGGAGGCAAAGGGACAAGGCCAGATTCTTTTCAGTAATGTGTGGTTACAGGACAAGGGGAAATGGCCAAAAACTGAAGCATAGGAAGTTCCACACAAGTGTGCATGAGAACTTCTCCACAGTTTGAGTGACAGAGCACTGGAACAGGCTGCCCAGTGGGTTTTGGAGTCTCCTTGTCTGGAGATATTAAGACCCACGTGGACACCAACTTGTGCAACCTGGTTTATGGTGCCTGCTTTAGTAAGGGGATGATCGAGTCCTGCTTTGGACTCAATGATCTCTAGAGGTCCCTTCAAGCTCCTTCAGTTCTGTGATTCTGTAAATTGTTTAGTTACCTATGCCCAGTGGGAGGCCAGTGATGAGTAGTGACCCCAGGGATCCATCTTGGGACCATGTCTCGTCAATATTGTTATCAATTACAGAGACAGTAGGAACAAGTGCACTCACAGCAAGTTTACTGATGACCTACTGATGACCACTGAGCTGAGTGGTGCAGCTCACACTACAGAAGGAAGGGATGCTACCTAATGGAACCTAAACAATCTTGAAGGGTGGTGACTTAATGAGGCTCAACAAAGGCTAAGTGAAAGGTATTGAACTTGGGTCATGGCACTAGACATGGAACTAGACAGCAACCCCGTAAAGAAGGAATAGGAGATCTTGGTAGACAAAAAAGGTGGTCATGAGTCAGCAGTGTGCACTTGAAGCCTGAAAGACCAACTGTATCATGGGTTGGATCAAAAGAGGGGCAGCCAGAATGGAAAAGGAGGTGATTGACCCCCTCTGCTATGCCTTTCTGAGGCATCATCTGGAGTACAGCGCCCAGACCTGGGGCCCACAGCGTAAGAAAGATAGAGAGCTTTCAGAGAAGGTCCAGAGAAGGGCCAAAATGATAACCAGCGGGCTGGAGCACCTTTCATGTGGGGAAAGAATGAGGGAGCTGGGCTTGTTCAGCTTGGAGAGGAGAAGGTTGCAGGGAGACCTCATTGGAACCTTCCAGTATATAAACAGGAGGGAAATCAACTATTTACATGCATAGAGAATTATAAGGAAGGGGTAATGATTTGAAATTATAAAGAGGAGATATATTAGATGTCAGGTGAAATTTTTCACAGAGAGAGTGGTGAGGTGCTGGAACAGGCTGCCAGGAGAGGATGCAGATACCCCATCCTTGGAACTGTTCAAGGCCAGGCTGGATGGGGCCCTGGGGAATCTGATCTAATGCTTGATCTAGCAGTCAGCAACCATGTCCACAGCAGTGGGGCTGAACTACATAATCTTTGTGGTCCCTTCCAAGCTGAGCCATCCTATGATTCTGTGTTAAGAGTTAGGTCAATTAAGCTCTCTCTTCATTTTCCAAGTATTTTAATATTATATTAACTATATAATGTATAGAAAAAATTCAGTTATGTAAATACATGTGTATGTATATACTTGAATACATCTACAAAACAGTACTCTAACCCCTACCTTTCATACAGATTTTTTTTTCACTTACTCCTTGTTGCTCTCAATATATACAACAAAAAACTGCATTATTCAGCTCCTTCATGTAGTAAACTGCAACTAATTGCTTTAACACTTACCTAATCATCTGAGAGCCATAAAACAAATGAATAAAAACCAGGCATTAAACATATGCAAATCTCTCCTGCTACAGTTCAGGAAAAAACAGAGGACAAGTGTAACAGCCCAAATAAATTACGTAATCTCTAGTGTAGTGTCTTTGTTCTTCACTAAAAAGATGTTTAAATTCATATGATGTCACCCCCTGGACAACTGAGAACAAACAAACTTAAAATGCACTTCTCTGAGGACAGAATCAAGCATTCACAACACTATCTGGTCAGAAAACTGACTTAGCTTCCTTCTGTTTTAATATACATGATTCTACACCTCTTGTATCAGCCTTCAGCTGCACAATAAAAGTGGCCCAAATTAACAGAAAAATGGAAAGAAACAACATCACTACCTTTCTCCACAGTCAACATTATGAATATGGAATAGCAGACCAAAGTTATAACTACTAATGTTTTATTTAATACTGCATTTGAATTCTCAGACATCATCAGAATAAGTTTTTTTTAATAGCAGTACAATTTGACAGTAAGGAAAGACAACATGAATGAAATTGAAATCAGTAAGACATTATTTTGGCATCACATGAACAAGGCTTCTTATCTTTTGTTATCTCAACAATCAAAAAAAGGTTTTCCAACTAATAAACAAGTCATACCTGAAAATGATGTTTCCTGCACGATCAGCCTTCCATGCCTTCACGAGAGCAAAATCTCCTGTAATGGACTTTTCCAGAATAAAGTGACGACCATCAAACTCTCGCACCTACAGAAAAAAAGTACAATATTGAGATGTAGATTTCTTCATTTAGATCTCTCATGTGTTTATTTTGCAGGGATAATTTTACAAACTATTTTATTTAATGCAATTCTATCGGAATAAATGGAGATCAAGTATAACCACAGAAAAGCACCAAGAGGTAGTAAACCTCCGGTTCATCCTAAGGTGTCTGTTTAGCAAAATACCAGAAGAACCATACACAGAACAGAATAAAATACATATTCCACCACTCCATCAACTGGAATTAGACATGCTCTTTGCAAATAATTAAAAAACAAATTGCTAAAGCAGAAGTATTGAAAAGCTTTGTAATCACTGCCCATCAGCAGAAGCCTCGAATCTAAATAAAGAAAATTTGATTCTGAGCACACGATTCAGATCATCTGACAGGCTGAATTTCATTTGGTTCTCACTATCTTTATGATCAATACTTGTAACAGTAATGTGCAGAAAGTCAGAACATGTAACAGATGAACAGGTACTATGCTAGCAGTTTTGTAAAACGAAATGCATTTTTCAAGAATAAATACAAAATTTTGTCTTTCCAAGACAAAAACTCTCCTGATTGACTAGAGACCAGAGACACACAATCTCTCATAACAATTGGGGTTGGGAAGCAAAATATCGCATGAATTATATCCCACATAGAAAACAAGGTCTAAGAAAATAGTATTCTAGCAGACATCACTAGATTATTTTAAACATAATTACATTTTCTTCACATTCACAAGAGAAGCTCAGAACTGAACCACTTTAGAGAAAAGAATCAGAATTGAATTCAAATTAGAAAATTCAACAGGGGTAAGCTCATTTTTGCATCCATTAGTTTACTGATGTCCAACAAGACTTTGCTAAACAATTAGAATAGGACATGGTCATACTTCCATGGAGGGAGTTCAATCTACCAAAGACAAGTTAGATGAACTATCTTTCCCCTCACAAGTTCTCTGTTAAGAGCCTGAAACTACTGAGGATCCTTCAGCCACAATGTGGTTTCTTCATGAACATTGTTCTTCTTCATCTGGCTTTGAATGAGAGCAACTTAAATCTACTGGATTCACATTCAAGACCTCAGTTCCAAACAACACAGATATACCCAGGAAAATCAGTATCTAATCTCTTCATTAGGCACTTCCATTATTAGGTATAGCATTGAATCATAGCAGAAATGAAAGAACAACAGCAAGAAGAAAGAAAACAACAATTTATCGTCCTAGAAAAGATGCAGTGAATATTTGGTGATTGCTGCCATCGAGTAGACAAGACACAAATCATACACAGAAACACTGAGCAGCATTTATTTAAACAGTACAGAATGTTAGAGTATACACAGTACTGCTGTAGCATTATTTAATACTTATCAGAGGGGAGAAAATCTGGTAAAAGCATATCAAAAGTTAGTTTTGTGGGCCTGTGGAGGCAGATTTGAGATTTATGAAATGTTATTTGCACTTTACATTGATTCAGTCAAGTCACATAAGAGATGTTACTGGCTTTGCAAAAGACTGAGAAGAACAAGAAGTATTCTTAACAAATACTAAAGGTAAAAAAAATTCTTATCAAAACCATAAGGTATTTCAACAAACAAGATTCCTTCAAATAGGAAAATATCATAATGCCATAATAAGAAATCCAAGGAAAAACAACTATTGTAATGATTCAATAATGAAAATATCAGTGCACAAATAAATGCCATCCAAAGGGACCTAGACAGGATGGCTATGTGCGCCCATGTGAACCTAATGAGGTTCATCAAGGCCAAATGCAAGGTGCTGCACTTGGGCTGAGGCAATGCCAGGTATTTGTACAAACTGGGTGAAGAGCCCCTTGAGAGCAGCCCTGTGGAGAAGGACTTGGGGGTCCTGGTGGATGAGATGTTGGACATGAGACAGCAATGTGCACTTGCAGCCCAGAAGGCCAACTGTGTTCTGGGCTGCATTGAAAGAGGAGTGGGCAGCAGGGAGAGGGAGGTGTTTGTCGCCCTCTACTCAGCTCTTGTGAGGCCCCATCTGCAGAACTGCATCCAGGCCTGGGGCCCCCAGTACAGAAGGACGTGGAGCTCTTGGAGTGGGTCTAGAGGAGGGCCACTAAGATGATCAGAGGGCTGGAGCAGCTCTTCTGCGGGGAAAGGTTGAGGGAACTGGCTTGTTTAGCTTGGAGAAGAGAAGGCTCCAGGGAGAACTCATGGTGGCCTTCCAGTACTTCAAGGGAGTGTATAAAGAGGAGGGGAAACGACTGTTCAAATGTGTTGATAGTGACAGGACCAGGGGGAATGGTTTTAAACTGAGACAGGGGAAGTTTAGGTTAGATATTAGAGGAAGTTTTTCTCACACAGAGGGTGGTGAGGCACTGGAACAGGTTGCCCAAGGAGGCTGTGGATGCCCCATCCCTGGAGGCATTCAAGGCCAGGCTGGATGTGGCTCTGGGCAGCCTGGTTCTGGTGGCTGGCAACCCTGCCCAAAGCAGAGGGGTTTAAATGAAATGATCTTTGTGGTCCTTTTCGCTCTAGGCCGTTCTATGATTCTATGATAAAAACAATTATCTTTACCCATAAGATGTTCTTGAGTAAGAGATTACACCTGTTGCAGCATAATGAGAACTCAGAGCGCTAACCTCATCCTCATTTCTTCAAACACAGTCATAGCACCTGAAACCTATTCCCTTCTTCAAGATTTCCACCTAATTTCAAGTTCATGTTTCTCTGTTGGAGATCACAGAGATATCTTTGTAATTTTGAACACTCACACTAAATAGCATTTCATTTCGTCGAACGTTTCCTGGATGCGTCAACTGAGCTTTTTGTGGTTTAACAAGAAAATGCCCAGTCTCTTCTAACGCTGAGGCTTTGGGTACAGATGCAGGTATGGCCAGAGAATTGGGTAAAGTGAATCAAGAAAGTTTTTCACCTGAGTCAGTTTCTTGATGTTAAGTCACTCAATGCTCCAAGAACTGTGATACACTGCAGGGGACAGGAATGAGCAGAAGGAGGACAGTTAATGTAACTAGTAACAAGCCACACCATTAATCCAACATACTGAAGTTAAACTTGGCCAGAAAAAAAACTTAAACAGCCATTTATCTTGGAATTCTGTAAGAAATTCATTTTCAAAAGCAGATTGCTAGAAACAGATTGACATCTTACCTCTCTTGGTTGGCTAGCAATAGCAATGGTGCCATCTGAATTGTATTTGATAGGTGCCCCCCCTTCCTGCACCAGTGTCCCATAACCTGTACTGGTGTAAAACGCTGGGATTCCTGCTCCTCCTGCTCTAATACGTTCAGCAAGTGTACCCTGTGGAAAAAACACATTGAAGACCTAGTCATTTAGAAATAACAGATCGAACTCAGGTGAATTATCTGATTGGAATTACTTATATATTATGTTATTTGTAACTTTGACCTTGAACTCCGCAGACCACCACATGCACTACTTCTTCCCACTTTAGCTCTCCTTTGTGGAACTGGTACAGCATATGGCAATAAATGCTTTACTTCTGGTCACCAAATGTTCAAGAGCACACTGTAACTCAACTCCATGTCAACTACCAGGATTATGCAACTCCTCTCCTTTAGCTTTTTTCCCAGTCCATCACTCTTATTTAGAAGAGTGTAGAGCTCTTTTTCCTACATGGATGGTAAGAATTTTTAACTTTTATCATCAGTTCAATATGTTAACTTCTTCTTAAGGTGTTGGATAATTAAACAAATTCCGTTTTTCAAGTTGAAAGAGTCACACTCAATAGACTGAAAAAGGAAGAGTGGTCTGGATACCATCTGCAAAGAATGCCCAAAACTTGATAGAACTATTTGATTTGAATGTATTTGAATGCCCCATCTGTACTGTATTCTATATTCATCCACTAGATAGATACTAACAACTCAAATTCTTTGTTAGCATTCATTGCAGACTGATGGTCAAAGTTGTATCTGCCTGCTTTTCACTGATGTCCTTTCCCAAATATTTTTTTCTGGACTTGAAGCAAGAAAAGGCCAATCACAGTCAATTATCAAGCATGACCGCTTCCAAAACATGGGTTGTGTTTTCCTCAGTAATTTCTGGAAGAAACACAGTGAATTCTTGTAGGTTGCAAAGTGACGACAGAAAAAAAAAAGACAGTTATAAACCATGCAATGATACTGAGCTCTGAGTTTCAAGCAGACCTGGCATTTCTAGATCTCATCATGACCTCTCCCTCACTGCAAAACAAGGACACAGTGCTCTCCAGTTTTATCTGAAGTCATAAAAAAATCTAAACAGCATTTTCCAAAAGGCTATTTTATCTTAACAAGAACATATAAAATCCCTGCATCTCTTAACACATTACTGACATTCACTGTTCACCAGTGTGGACTGCAGACCCACAACTGTCATTCAGGATCTACTCAGCTCTTAAGTGCATTCCACAAAGCAAATCACAAGCCTAAGGAGTACAAGATCTTTTGGATGAAATTACCAAACATGAAGTAGGAGGATGGAAAAGATGAATACTGAGGTAACACAGTGGTGAAAAGTGTGACTTCTGAAAAGTGAGAAGTACCTGCTTATTTCCATGCCAGCTGACAGAGTATAGAGATTTCCTGTCCACCCCTGTGCTTCTTAGAGACAGACCAAAGAAATGTAGGCCAAGGACTTCTTCACAAAACTTTACTACTGTTGCTCTTCCCAATGGTTTAAATGAATAACTGTTTAAAGTTCAAAGGCTTTGCTTCACACTAACATGCTGCAGAATTCGATCTAAACAGAATATAACTGATACAATTTTAGACTGTATTGTATGCTAGCTATGCAAGTACCTTGGCAGTGCTAAAACACTAGAAGCAGGCATGTTCAAGCTGTGGTCCACATGCAGCCCACCCCAGCTGGCACTGTGGCCCGGCCCCTGCTCTGTGCAATCATCTGCCCCCACCACTGAGCAGCCCGACCGCTCGCACCACTCTGCAACAGACAAGCATCAGTGCATACTGAGTGCTGTCTGAACTGCACCAGGGTGCAGGGAGGGTGCTCAACTCACACCAAAGAGCTGTGTGTTTTGATTCATTGGCCGAACACAGTGCTGTGAACAGCAGAAAATACATAGCCGTGCTTTCCGTTTTGATCAAGGAACTTGAGAACAGGTTTCAAGATTTTTTATTTGCAACTCCATTTTCAGTTGACATAGCCACATTACATAAGAATTTTCAAATGGAATGCACGGAGTTGCACAGCATGCAGGCTCTAGCTTACTGCTGCTGAAAATGCAGAGCTAATGGTGGTGACTGTTGAAAAATAGTGTTTTGTAGTTGAGATTTTGCTCTATCAAATATTGTTGTTATGCTCTTTACACTAGTTATAGTTCCATGGAAACACAGGAGGCATTACTTTGGAGCAGCCCTTATGTACGTGGCGCAAAACAATTCCTGTTCACTCAATGTGGCCCAGGAAAGCTGAAAGTTTGGACATCCATGACTTAAAGCTATGGTGCTATAAAGTGAAGTCGTAAATATTGGATCATATTGAGATTTAACACAGATTTAACTAACAAGCACAAAAAACTTAAGGTATTCTGAATTTGAAGTCTGTTCTTTCAAATCCTACCCACTAGATGGCAGATACTGCTCAAACACTTTCCCCAAAAGCACGCAAAGCTACCATCACTTGGTTATACAGGGATTTTCTATCTTTGCTCCCCGGCATGAGCCACAGCAGACAGATTTCACCTGTTTATCTACCATCCAAAAGGTCTTATGAAAAACAAACATTGTGCTAAAACATGGATAAGTATATATATTTACTTCAGATGAATGTAAGGCATACCATGCCATAAATCACAAAATTTAACTGATCAGTTCTTAATCTCACAGTTGCACTCTATAACTTAACGATCCTAAAACAGCAAATTCCACCTGTTTTTACAGAGAAAACATTAAGATTGCAAGTCAATTTTAAAAAGCAGTTAAGGCACATTCTAATCGTTTTTTCGATGAAAACATACCACAGCTCTGGATAGACTACTTACCTGAGGTGTAAGTTCAACTTCAAGCTCACCAGATAAATACTGGCGTTCAAATTCAGCATTCTCTCCAACATATGATGATACCATGCGTTTTATCTGCTTAGTCTGAAGCAGAAGACCAAGTCCAAAATTGTCAACACTGCATAGAAAAACACAAGGCAATATTGGGTGATTAAAATAGTTCTATTGTATACAAACCATTGATAAACTTTAATGACTTAAATAGAAAGGGTAGAGCCATCTTCAAGGATTTCTGACATGAGGAATTGGACGGACACACAAAACCAATATACTGATATTTAGGAATTCATTTCTCAGACCTCATCCCTTCTAAGGCACTGAAGAAATTCCACATGCAACAGCTATAAACACCATCTTTACAAGTGATGATATGTTACACAAATCCTCCTTTAAAAAGCCTTACTACCTAAGAGTCACACCAGATACAAACTGGCTCTTAGTAAACAAAACTAAATTTTTGTTTAGACTCTTCCTACATAAAATTGCCAGTTAAAATGATTGTTCAGCAGCTCAAGAAGAAAGATACATTTATAGCGCTGGACTGTACCAAAATCAAACGAATATTTATATTGTAACAATATAAGTATATTTATTGTAACAATATAAGTTATATTTATATTTGTAACAATAAATATTTCACTTTCTTATTTAGAAATTGTCTACTGTAGCAAGAAACATTAACATTGTAATCAAGAAAATTAAAGAATTACATAATGGTTTGGGTTGGAAAGTACCTTAAAGCCCATTCAGTTCCCATGTCCTGCCATGGACATGGTTGTTATCCATCAAGTTGCAGAGGGCCCCGGCCAACCTGGACTTGAGCACGTCCAGGGATATCAACTTTTTACACAGATAGAGAACACTAGGGAAAGGGGGAATGGTTTGAAATTAAAAGAGGGGAGATTTGTATTACGTGTCCAGGTGAAACTTTTCACAGAGAGAGTGGTGAGGTGCTAGAACAGGCTGCCTGGAGAGGCTGCGGATGTTCCAGTCCTGGAGAGGAACAAGACCAGGATACATGGGGCCCTGGGCAACCTGATCTAGTGCCTGATTTAGCAGCTGGCAACCCTTCTGGCGACACTGGGGTTGGAACTAGATGATCTTTGTGGTCTCCCTCAATACAAACCATTCCATGGATTTTATCATATACGTTGTCTTTAACAATGCCAGTTTAATCTGAATGCCAAACATAACAAATATCCTCTAGTTCCAATTCCTCTAAATGTTTCTAAATTCAGATCTTCTCAAGATAGACAATCTTGAGCACTGTTAAAACTTTTGTCATTCTATTGTGCACACAGATAGGACAAGAACATGAAGTTTTTGTGATAAAGGGAATCTGCAAAAAAAAGCTACTTTAATTTGATAAACCATTATGTTATGATATAAAAGCAGGAATAAACAGAGACCATATCACAAACATTTATTTTCTGTTTCTAATACATTTATTTTCTGTTTCTAATACATTATGCAGGATATTGGCAAACTGGTACAAGCTCTTCTACTTTTCTGTTGGTCTCTAACAAATGAGTGGAGAACTCTGGTCCTCCACTCTCACTATAGAAGAGATGCCATAACCCAAAATCAGCTCACAAAAGTAATGTATTTGTGTATTTGTCATCAATTGTCTCGACCCAATAAGACAATTATTCACAACTGGCTTCATATTTCAGAATAAGAAATAGTGGAAAATATTAAAAGTCCTAAAAGAAACCAGATCCAGTGTTTGCATTATAAATACCTTATGCAAAACACTTATAATAAAAAATTTTGTTAATTGCTTTAATAAAATATATCTCTTCTCAATATTAATTTTGTTCTCTTGGTATTCTTCACCTACAAGAGTTCTACTACTTTAGATAGTCAGAAATGAATTCTTACCACAGTGGCCACAGAAGAAAGTAATGCCTTAGACTACTATTCTTTATGCACTATTCCAACTACTGTTAGGGATATCTCCTAACAATGGTGTTACATACTACTGCAATGGGGGGAAAAGAAAGAAGGAAAGAATACATATAAATAAGGTATGTAAAAGTAATATTAAAAACAACAACAACAAGAAGACAACCCTATATTGCACATAAAAATAATTAAATAAATATCATCTTAAAAATCCAGTCATGGTGCTGAGTAAGCCAGGTAGTATTTGTTTTGTACACTACACATGTGCAGATCAAAGGAAAGAACCTGCTAGGAAACACACTAACACTCCATCAATTTAGGAGTGATTTTAAACATTCCAGCTACACACTCCTGGCATCCTTGCAAAAGGCCAGATTCAAAAAGTTACCATATGCACTTTTTTTCTAGAAAAGCAGTATTTAATTTCTATCCCGAAGTTTAATACTGTTTGATTAACTTACAAAACTGCAGTATTTCAGTTAAATAGTACTAAACGTACTAAATAGCATTTCACACTTCAGAAAGCTCCACAAACACAAATGGATCAACAAAGAGCATAAGCTTACTTCACACAGACTTTCAGCATCTCAGTACGTGAGAAGCTTATTTCCTTAAGTTTCAAGGAGAATCAGGTGAGCAGGAGGATGCTTTTGAAAGTCACTAGCCCAAAGTCACTAACGAGATCACACTGTCCCTCTTTTCCAGGATGCACCCAACCCAACTCACACTGATACAATAGCACAACACTCTTCCTGCCTGCAAGCATTGCAGTACTGGTTCCAGTGTTGCATGAGAAGGAAAAGGGGCTGAGCAGAGAGAGCAGTACCAGCACCAGCTATTCCTTTTCTACCACAATACTCGAAACTACTGCAAAGTAAGATATGAAGTCAGGCTTCCCAACTGCATCAATAACAGGGATTGTTTTAAGATTTGGCAACCTATTTCTATGTACACTCAATCAATTTGGAAACTACACAGGTAAGTAAAGCAACATTTTCTAGCATAATCTTCTACATTTATTTTACGCACTCTAGATGTAAAACCATTCAAAATACTTTCTCCATTCCCCAACTCTGCCCTATAAAAGAAATCTGGCTCTGATGCAATACCATACAGTGGAAACTGTCCCACTGCCAAAGCCTTAAGAAATGTGTGTTGCCTAGAAACAACCTGTATTTCTAAATCCCTTCAGGAAAAACTTTCAGCAATTTTGAAACTAGAAACAAAAATAAAAATATGAAAGCAAAGTAGAATGAGGAGTCTTGGGGGCGAAGAACGGGAGAAAAATAAAAATAAGCACAACTATATGAGTGTCACTCAAACCAAGAGAACTCCTAATAAAACCATCAAACTCTAACTTCTCTTTATTAAAAAATAATGAGCAAACATAACAGATCAGCTAATATTTGAGAGCAGTTGAACGGGGTTGTATAAGCAGAGTACAGTACAGCAAAAGAAGTTAAATAACAGTCTGCAGAGTTTTATAGTTAAGCAGTATTTTAAACTGTCCATAAACCATAGTTTCCTATGCACCATTCACAAAGTTTACACTGCTCTTAGCATTTCAAAACTTGCAAGCTATTTAACCAAAACAGGCAGACATGAGACTTCTGCATGCAGAGCACATTCTGACTGCACATACCCATGAGAAAGGGATGGCAACAGACAGTTGTAATTACCGAAGAAATTTCTGCCTCTTTTCACCTAGATTTAAACTGCTTGCTTCCACAGTTGAAGCAGCAGCTACTGTAGCATATTATGTTCAGCAGGATTTTGCAGGTCTTCATGCCTGGTCCCATGGAAATACACTTGATTCTCTCATCCGCTGCAGGAAAGTTCCCTCTCAGTGAGAACTCTGCAGCAACAAAGATGTCTATAAGAAATTAAATAGAGTAGGATAAAAGTTCTCACACTCATCCAAAGCTTTTTCTCATTTCTTAAGTCAATCTTTCTTCCATACATCAAAGGAGGTCCATTTAAAAAAAAAAAAAAATTGCATTCAGGATCAGTCAAGAAAGCACATAGGCCATGCAGCCTTATTTTCCAAATACAAAATTAATTCCATTACCAGGGGAATTTCATCTTCAAAGCAGCACTGCAAAACTCAATCGTTTTTACTTATACATTTATTTTGTGTGTCAGTTTCTGAAAATAAATATTATGATATCCATCTTTTCTAAGGACTCAATTTGCATTCAGCTGCCTATCTGAATTAACTCTTCCATCTTTCATTCACATTAGTTTTTCTTTCATTTCCCTCCAAAGCTTCATTTTGAACATTTCATTCTGACTTACGTTTCCTGTATTTTTTTCTTCCTTTCTGAATATCCAAAGAAAATAACATTTCATGCAAGTGTCTGAAAGCTGCTGTCATTTCTATTCTCTCCACACTTCGTCCTTAACCAGACATCTCTATCCTGGAATAAAATTAAAAAACAACTACTGATTTAGAGAAGTTTATTACAATCTAAGGTTGCTTTCCATTTTTTTTTTTCTTTTTTCTTAATAGTGATTGTTAGCTTTCCTTTTCCATATTGTGTTGCTTTCTTGGTCGTTTTTTTTAGGGCCCAAAAGTTTCTTTGAACTTTACAGCTTTGCGCTGAAAACGTTATAACTAAATATATGCCTTGCAGGTTATGTCCCCCCTATCAAATAATAGGAAAATATCCTTCACTGAGTAAATGGAAAGAGTACATCCTGTATATATGAATCTAAATTCAATCACTCAAAAAAAATGAAACAAAGGTGGGCATAATAAAAAATGTGTTGCCCTGAAGAGGAAGCTTTCATGCATGCCATCAGAAGGAAAGTGCATATTAGTGCTATACAGAATGGTTTATTCTCAGAACTGCCAAGATTTCTAGAAGATTCCTACTCTATAAGGATGAAATCTGAATCTACAGAATACATGGAACAAAAACAGAATAAGAGATCTAAAATGGCACCCATCAAGAATGTAAGTAATCCAAGTTCATGGTCTCCATTCTACTAATAGTGACCAGAAAATGGAATAGCTATCAAGTGTCTCTTGTTTAGCAACACACTACTTTCTATTGTTTTATTTCTCCCAGATCAGTGAAATCTTCCTGTCAAAAACTACTGTCAGCCCTTTTAATTAAAAAATTAACCAAAGAAGACTCCCAGCTGGACATAGCCCACAAATTTCAAGTATACCTACAAGCAGTCAAAACTACATGCCAATGTTGCACTCCA